TGCAGTACTGACTGTAAACTGCAGTACTGAGTGTAAACTGCAGTACTGACTGTAAACTGCAGTACTGAGTGTAAACTGCAGTACTGACTGTAAACTGCAGTACTGAGTGTAAACTGCAGTACTGACTGTAAACTGCAGTACTGAGTGTAAACTGCAGTACTGACTGTAAACTGCAGTACTGAGTGTAAACTGCAGTACTGACTGTAAACTGCAGTACTGAGTGTAAACTGCAGTACTGACTGTAAACTGCAGTACTGAGTGTAAACTGCAGTACTGAGTGTCATATTTCCATTTTCAGTAGTTTCATTCAACCTCAACCTTCCGGACACAAACATTTGTTCAAATATTTAAGAGCCTAAAGTGAGTCCTAAATATACAGACTCCCAGAATACTACTGGGCTGCTGTATCTGTGTGTCTGTGTGTGTGTGTGTGTGTGTGTGTGTGTGAGTCATCTATTAACTTCCAACTACGGTCAAGAATGAGGAGCACAGACGTCTGATGCAGGAGATTATTTTCAGAAAGTCCAAATAAAAGCAGCCTGGAAACTAAACGCGACTGATGGTTTGGCGGCTAAGCTAAGCTAAGCTAAGCTAAGCTAAGCTAAGCTAACAACTGTCGTAAATTAATTCAAACTTCTGTCTTTTAACAATACAGACATTTAAAGCAATAAACAAACACAAAACCCTCCGTCATTCGGAGATTTAAAGGTGCAGTCTGCAGTTTGTTTTTTTAGCTCTCCTTCTTTGGCCTGTAGGTGGTGCTAAGTACATATTTGAAAACCCCACTACAGGATTCGGAGGTACACTCCACCACTGTACTGCCTGACGGTGTTGTGTTGCTGACCTCAGTGGTGTGACAACTCACTGGTAACAGTTGTTATGGAAACGGTTGTAGCTGCCCAGAGCAGTCAGAGCGCCCAGTCCAATGGCATAGGAGAAGAAGATCTGAGTGCCTGCATCGATCCACACCTGCCACAGGGGGGAGACACTGTTACTGTGGGGAAAAGCCAATATGCTCTGTCATTGGTCAGAGGCCCCCCACTGTGCCGCCCAACAGACATATGGACACATGGACAAATGGACAAAAGGACAGATGGACAAAAGGACAGATGGACAGACAGATGGACAAAAGGACAGAAAAGGACAGATGGACAAAAGGACAGATGGACAGGTGCTGTGATACCTGGGCTTCACCCAGTTTGGACCAGTCTGGTTTCAGGTAGTAAACAATCCCATCTACTGCTCCAGGTAAAGTCACACCATGGGCCAGAAGAACCACCAGGACCAGATATGGGAACAGAGCTGTGAAGTACACAACCTACGGAGAGAGGGGGGGGGGATCGAGGGGGGGGACAGGGGGGAGAGGACTAAGTGTGTCTCTACCTGACGACCTGATTTCACATGGTCACATTAGCAACGACGTTAGCTCTCATGATTTACATAAGATTCATTAAGTAAAACAGGGGTCCACGGCCCTTCAGTGGTCCATAAAGACTGGACGTGTGGTCCTGGTCTGTAGACCCAGTCCGTACCTTCCCAGTGGATTTGACTCCTTTCCACATGCAGAAGTAAACGATGACCCAGGTGGCCATGAGGCACAGAACCATCTCGTAGCTGATGTCACCAGGTTCATGGAGTCCACCAGACAGACGGAGAACTTTACGTCTGCAGGAGAACAGACCAAAGGTGGAGGTTAGTGACCAACATCTGACCAGGTGACCACAGAAGACACAAAGTCTGACCAAGAGAAGTTTCAGTGAGCAGAACACCCATGGACTAATTGATTAATCAGTTTAACGTTCTGTCATCCAGTCACGGTCAGCGTCTGTCACCATGGTAACCATGGTAACCACACGGCACATACGTACTCCCAGAACTCAATGACGGGGGAGCGCAGGCCCTCCACCTCCAGGCAGCTGCCATTGAAGAGCAGCTGGGCGGAGGAAAGGTTGGGCGGGACACTGGGGGTGAGGAGGTGGGACGAGGGGGCAGCGGGTGAAGGCGAAGCAGGCTGAGCTCCGCTGCGGTTGTGGCAGGCGCGCCGGAAATCCTGCGTGCAGTTGGGGGTGTTCCAGGGATGTCCACAGCTGGCCCACGGCAGTGGGTTACTGAAAGAGTGGAAGAGAAAGTAGAGACCCCAGACCAGAATCATGATGTAGTAGGTGTTACAGAAGAACACGATCACCATGGAGGCCAGGCCCAGACCTGAGGGGGGGGGAGAGGGGGGAGACAGGAGGTGAGCAGGAAAAGACCACCAGCACCACAACAACAACCAGGACGAGTCCTAGTCCTAACTCAGAGTGACAGTAGATACAGAAGGAATACACCAGGGGTCCGTTTAGTCTTAGAACTAACTCAGAGTTAGTTGACTCCGTGTTGGAGGGAACTCTGACTTTCTGGTTTCATGAAGACGACTAGACCGTGACGTTGACTCGGTTGCTACGGCAACATACTCCGTGGATCAAACCTGCTCCGGAGCAGTTTTTAAGGTCCTTAGTCTGAGTTAAGGAGTGAGTCAGTAATCAAGATACAGGGCGTGGCCGAGGTTGTGACGTCACAGCTCAGGTGGTGAGAAGAAACTGACGCCAAACTTTTTTTTGTTCGAGTGTTTCCGTTTTTCGTCAGAGTCTATTATAAAACTGATTCGATTCTCAGCCCACATTTCCTTCGTTAAACTCATCGTAGCCGCGCTCTTAGCTACGTCGTTTTTTACCAACGGTCGTTTCCTCTATGACGTCGGTGATGCTGAGACCGTATTGGAGGTAATTGGAGGTGTGTCGATGTGGGCGGAGCCTTGGTGTTGATCTGGAACACACAGCTCCTACTTCCGGTTTGTTCTATATTGTTGTATTACACGTCCTCTTCCACCTGTTGGCTTAAACCTGGATCAACCTGTCAGAGGTCAGCTGTGGACACTCAGAGGTCAGCTGTGGACACTCAGAGGTCAGCTGTGGACACTCAGAGCTGTGGACAGCTGTGGACACTCAGAGGTCAGCTGTGGACACTCAGAGGTCAGCTGTGGACACTCACTCCTTCACTCTCTCATCTATCTGTTTCCTCACACCATCAAACTGGTTCCATCTGGTTCAACAGTGCGTCACTATTTGTCGTTCAGGAAGAACTTGATTAGAGTTCTGCTGTAGAATTTCCCATCCCCTCCGTGGCTGCAGACACACACTCTTATCCACTATCTACAGGCTTCAAGGTTTTCAGGAGAACTTCCTCCGTCATATCTGCAGAGCCACGCCAGTCACCAGACAGTCAGGACCCGACGGCCGTCCGTGGCGGCGCCTGTGGTCGTACCTTTAAAAAGTGGAGCGATGTTCCAGGCAGATACCCCTCCTTGTTTCATGAACTGTCCCAGCGCCACCTCCAGGAAGAAGACTGGAATACCGCCGATGAACACGATCAGCAAGTATGGGATCAGGAAAACTCCTGCAACATAAAACATCAACCTCCGTCAGCAGCAGCCTGGGTGGAGGAGGAGGAGGAGGAGGAGGAGGAGGAGGGGGAGGAGGAGGGGGGAGGAGGGGGAGGGAGGGGGAGAAGGGGGAACATTAGAAACACAGGAGATTCAATCACATGATCAGTGTGTGTGGGTTCTGTGTGTGTGAGAAGAACCGTATTTTAGAACTTCTTCTTAAGGCTTTACCTGCAGATCTGAATCTTTTGAGTGTTATTGCTGCCACCTACTGGCCCTATTTTCCACGGGTAAATCTTTAATCAACAGGATAGGCTGGCAACAGAACGGAAAAAGTAGAAAAGACACAGAGAGGGCAGAAACCCTGCTGGGGTTCACAGGAACCAGGGGAACCAGGGGAACTGTTGGAACCTGTTCTGGTTGGTGAGAGAACTGACACTACAGCAGAGTAAAGATGGAGGGGGGGGGGGGGGGGTCACATGACCAGCTATGACGCAGACAGGAGGGAGAGTCGGTGAGTGGATGAGAGCTGAGTGATGATGATGATGGTGATGATGATGATGATGATGGTGATGGTGATGATGATGGTGATGGTGATGATGCAGCGCTTTAATGAATGCAGAAACATCACGACCTGCGTCTGTGTCTCTTCACTGCAGCTGTTGATTGACAGGCTGAGCCTCAGTCACTGCGTCTTCTCTATGACGTCAACTATGAGCTGAGGGATAGAGCCTTATAAGGAAACGTCTATGAGCGGAGTCTGAGCGGGAGGGGGGTGAAGAGACATAGAAAAGAGGGAGAGAGAGAGCGAGAGAGGGAGAGAGGGGGAGAGAGAGAGAGAGGGGAGAGAGGGAGAGGGAGGGAGAGAGAGGGAGAGAGAGAGCGAGAGAGGGGGAGAGAGAGAGAGGGATACAGACACAGGCGTGAATGGAATGGCCAGAGAAAATGCCGGCGGGGCTGTCACAGTTGGAGGAGGGGCTGTCACAGTTGGGGGCGGGGCTGTCACCGTTGGGGGCGGGGCTGTCACCGTTGGGGGCGGGGCTACCACCGCCTGGTGGTTGGTCGGGGCGGGGCTACCACAGCCTGGTGTTTGGTCCAAATGGTCAAAGAAGTGTTTCTATAATCAGCTTAGACTAATCCTCTGTGACGGTGAGTTTGAACTGAATTAATAACAGACACAGACACAGACACAGACACAGACACAGACACAGACACAGACACAGACACAGACACAGACACAGACAGAGTCAGCGTTGGTCTTCAGCCGCTCACTCCTTATCAGGCTCATACCTCGCCTGGTCAAGGACAGAGAATGAATCAGTGTGACGGATGTAGCAAATAAAAAAACAAGGATGGGCACGGTCACAGGACGGTTATTGTCTCACACACACACACACACACACACACACACACACACACACACATCTTGATTTCACAGCAGAGAGAGAAATCGCATCTATTTTTTCTTCACCATCATCACGGGGGGGTGGGGGGGTGAGGGGGGGCTGTGTGAGGCAGTCCATTGTTATACAATATAAGAAGGTGGGCATCAAAGTCATGGGTCACGAGCACCACACAGACATGAGGCAGAGAGACGGGGGAGGGAGGGGACCAGAGGTCTGATGAAAACACAGAAAAGGTCAAAGGTCAGAGCCCGGCCTGGCCCTGTGCTCCACAGGACAGACAGACTGTCTGTTAGAAACACAACAAAACGAGGGTTGACATCTAACCAGCAGGAGGAGCTGCTGAGTTCATCTGACCATCAGGAGGGTTGAGCGAGGGTCTACAGACCTGCAGGCTGACGGTCTACGTTCACCTGCTGCAGCATTAACCTAGGACAAACAGACAGACTTCAGGGAGCTAACGAGGCTAACGAGGCTAACGAGGCTAACTGCACACTCTCTGACCACTTCAGGTACTGTACTGGTACACACTACAGTCACACACTGAATCTACCTTCTCTCTGGAAAGTCCTCTAGATTGAATATGGCCAGTAGGTGGCAGTAATGACACTCACCAGAATCAGAGCTGCAGGTGAAGACCAAAGAAGTGAGGCTGCTGGTGCTAGTTGCTAAAAGGTCAAGTACTAGTGCACTGCTAACACATTCCACTGGGACAGTCACCCACAGACGTACACCGAGACCAGGCGTGGGCAAACTACGGTCCGGGGGCCGGATGCGGCACGTTCAGATGTCTAATCCAGGCCGCCAAACCTTTCCAAATTATATCATTTATTTATATAATCATTATACTTCTGCCTTTTCTGTGCTATACCTACGTTTCCCCAATAGATGGCGTAAAAATGATAAAAGCATTTGAACATTTTAGTCTTTATGCACGACTTTGACATGTCATTTATCTTAGTTCACGTGAACGCTCCATCTCTCTGCTCCTGACCCCCCCGACCCCCCCCTCCCGTTCAATGTTAGGACAGTTGTGGCCCACGAGTCAAAGGTTTGCCCACTCCTGACCTAGACTGTCCTCACCTCCTCCGTTTTTGTAGCAGAGATACGGGAACCGCCACACGTTCCCTAATCCGACGGCGAAGCCGACGCAGGACATGATGAAGTCCATCTGTCTGGTCCAGGTCTCCCGCTCCACCACTGGGATCGTCACTCCAACTTCACTTCCAGCCACAGCCCCGTCCTGGCTTTGTGGGGGGGCGGCTCCTCCGCCATCCCCACACCCCGGGTCCACTCCAGGCACGGCCACCAGAGGGCGAGCCGAGCCCGCGCTCTCCTCCTCTGATAGGGCCTCCAGTTGGGGGAGACTGACTTCACCTGGACAGGACAAGGTCAGAACAAAAAGGTCAGGGGTCAAGGAGGAGGATGAGAGTTGTCATGTCAACAACAACACCCCCCCCAGACCCACA